ATTTATATTCTATATATTTATAGGTATAAATATAGGTATATTTATACCTATATTTATCCTACAGTGAGGATACAACTTTCTAGTTCAGGTATTGTATTATAGACTGACACCTTTGTATCCAGAGAGGCAAAAGAGACACATTGATGGTGAACAGAAGTTTTATCTTCTGTTTTCTTTAATCTCAGTTCCTAGGATACTCTTTAGTCCCTTAATCACAATAGTTATTCAATTCCACTAATTATCCCTAATGGAAAAATTTACATTTTGAGGCTGGGCATAGTTTGCAGAGTTGTTTTGGGTTTGTTTATGGATTTGGTTTTGTTGCTATTTCTGACCTTTTTTAGCTGTTTGTTAACATTTAACTGAATGTGATTTACAAGTGGTCATGAATCCTGTTCTCAGGCCTGTCTTACAACTTGGCATAATTTGACTTCTGAGCTCTTCTCTGTTGAGCAGTTTGCAACAGAAACCAGTGATTTAATTCTGTCCCCAAATAGTGGTTGTCTGAAGATGTGATTGTACATCTGTATTCTCTTGGCATTTTGTTACGAGCTTGAGCTGGTATATATACACATAAATATAAATATTATGCCTAAAAATGATTCAAAAAGCCATTTACAGTAGTCATAAAGCCCATAGTACATACTAAATATTACAGACACCTATATGGAAGTACCAGCTGCTGCTAGTTTCTGCTGGGCCTATTTCAGAAGTTATTTTTCTCAGGAGGCTTGTTTTCAGTGTTTTCATTACCTATCTAACAGCAAAGCAGAACTGTCTAATATATTGGGAGGTATTTTGAAAGCAGTCACATGCTTTTTAAATAAAGCATTACTGCTCTGTTTTTAGTGCTACAAATAAATAAAAATAGATCAAGAGACTTAATGTGCCTTATATACCTCAAAGGACAGTGAGTGTGGCTTTTGCTACCAGCACTCTTCAGGATGCATTTCAGTTTAAGCCTTTTCTCCCCTTTTCATTCTATTTTATGTACAAATAATATCTTAAAATATTTCTTTCTCTTACAATATTTTGTCAGGTGCTCAAAGCAGAAGAAAGAAACAGAACCAGAGTATTCACTTGTCAGTACAGAGTAGATTTTAAGTATATCAGTCTCCATTTTTTTAATGTTAATGTGTTTTGTTTTAAAAAAGACTCTGGAATTTCCATGTGGCAGTGGAGTGTTTGCCTTCTGTTGTGTAGACTGTGGGTCTAGAAGTGATCTTGCCAGTGTATCTCTTCAGTGGAAGAAGCATCTTGTTTCAAATACTGGAAGGTGTGAGGTGGCTGTGTCCTTGCTTGTCTGGCAGGAGGACAGAGCTTTACAAAACACCCAGTTAAGGGAAGAGTTTTTTGCTTGCTTTTTTTGTTTGGTATTTTTAATTCCAGCCTGTACGTTTCACTTCTCTGTCCTTTTCTCTGCCATTTTGAGGTTATCAATCAGATGTTCTTGCCAAAGCCAATTTAAATTTGCCTTTACCACGGGTGAGTGTCCAGCATTCCTCTTGCTCAGTGCTTCTAGAATGGAGTATATGATTTTTTTCTTCCTGATTTCCCAATTCCAGGTGCAGGTCAACAGCACCCACGGCTCAGTCCATTCCTTGGATGCAGACTTGCTTCTTTCTTCTGGTGAATCTTTCAATAAATCAGACAATGATATGTTTAAAGATGGACTACGGAGAGCACAGTCAACAGACAGTCTTGGGACATCTGGATCTTTACAGTCCAAAGCTTTAGGATACAACAACAAGGCAAAATCTGCTGGGAACCTGGACGAGTCAGATTTCGGACCGCTTGTCGGAGCAGATTCAGTGTCTGAGAACTTTGATACAGCTTCCCTCGGGTCTCTGCAAATGCCAAGTGGGTTCATGTTAACCAAAGATCAGGAAAAAGCTATCAAAGCAATGACACCAGAGCAAGAAGAGACTGCCTCACTTCTCTCCAGTGTGACACAAGGGGTGGAGAGCGCCTACGTGTCCCCGAGCGGTTACCGCCTGGTGAGCGAGACGGAGTGGAACCTGCTGCAGAAGGAGGTGAGTGCCCACTCCCTGGCTCTGCTGCCACCACTGCCTGTGGGACAGGCTGGCTGCTGGGGGACAGCTCCTCCTCGTTTGCTTCACACGCTGGAGGAAATAGGTGCCATCATATGGAGCTGTTCACTTTTCTCTCTTGGGTCAAGCGCATCGGATGTAAACCTGTTGGTTGACTCTGGGGGAAGTCAGCTTTACTAAATCCAGGCTATTTCTGCACTTAGGGGTCTGGCAGAGCTAGCTGTTGATACTGTAAAATCATGAGAGGGTGAAAAAAAGATGGGAGAACTCAAAAGGAGAAGGTGGGAAGCTAAGGAAAGGACGTTACAGTGCAGCTGGGGGTGACCAGGAAAGTGCAGAGACCTAACAAAAGGAGCAGAGCTAACAGTGCTGCTTTGTATGCCAAGGAGTTTTACTGAGGATTGTGTGTGGAGTGCAGATTAGAAATGAGCAGCCAAGATATGCATAACACACAAAGCTACCACAAAGGAAGCTTTGGAAAATTGTTGGGGAATTGCATCATCAGAAACCCATTTCTGAGAGCGACAAGCAGCAGATGATGTGTCATCTGTTGGTGGTGCTGTGCCAGTTTCAGTGGGGCTGACCAAGGAAATTGCTGCTTCTGGGTGTTCTGTTTTTCAGCAGCTTTGTGTGATGCCAGTTCAGAACGTGCATTTGGTTTCCTG